TTTGATTTAGTTTGGTTTGGTATACAAGGTGTTAGGACTAATTAATACTAAAAGCCACGGGCTTTTTTCAGACGCTACTCCATGTAGCTTCTCAAGAAAGATCTTTTAATTTTTGAAAAGCTCTTAAAAATTGTCATGTCAAACATAAAACTAGAAGCTTTTAGAGACTTTTTGAACAGTTTAAAAGCTAGAAGGCAGAGACTTATGTCTGCCAAACATAGCCTAAGTCATATTTAAGGGGTGAAAAAATCATTATTCCGCGTCACAATGATATTTTGTTATTTAATTCTTTACCTATATCGATACCTTGGATGTTTTTTTGAAAACAAATAACTTAATTATTATTAATGAAGATGACAAGAAACATTACAACCATAAAGCTCAAGACTACAATGGGATGAGACATAGAAACGGACGATTTTAATCGAAAACGCCGAATCGCTAATCCCGCAAAAAAGTAGACTCTACTTGCAGATTAACTGCTCCTGTTACGATCACAATAATTATCAAAAGAACTCTTAAACATCCCGGTTTCTCCAGCCAGCGGTAAGGAGTCAACTGTAGAATTTGTTCCGGTTTCACCTGCCACCGAAAAGAAAGCAACCCAAATTATCTCATCTTCCTGGAACAGTGGTGGTTCAGGAGGGGGGCGATCCGTCTCAATATCGTCGCAGAAGAAAATCATGTTTTTGATTGATGAAGAGATCAGTGCAAATCTCTTCTTTGCACACAAGAACGCCCGACTGAAAGTGGCGGGGAATATGGATCTGACAGACGATATTTCGCTACCAAAAATAATACCTCCAAACAACGTTGGGAAAAAACACATGAATAAAACTGAATACACTTATTAAGAAGATGTTTTTCTATTATTGAAATCAAAGAAAATTGAAAGAAGAGAAGAAAAGAATAGAAAAAGAGGCGGCGGCTAGGGTTTCCCCATGCCATTGACGCTCCTCTCTCTAAACAAGCTAGATAAAGTCTATTCTTTATACTCGATACCTTGGATGTTATGTATAATAATGCATTTATACAACATTGTACCGGTGGGCAAACGAGTACAGGAATCGTGAGTGAGGGTCAGGTCCTAATTTTAGAAAAGATAAACGGTCCGGTGCGTGGCGGGTCCTTAAAAACTTAGAAACCGAACGGGTCTTAAATTTTGAAACAACGGGTACCCGAACTGAACCGTTATAAAATATTATTTTAATAAATTCTTTATATATATAATATAATGTACTAACAACACACTGAAGATCATCATGTTCTTGTGTCTAGACAAAGACTTTCAATTAAAGAAATCGGTCAGTCTGTTAAAAAAAGTTTCTAAGTCCATCTAAGCTCCTAAATTATTGTTCTCGATTCTATCTTCCAAATGCATCTAACTTTTTTTAATATTTTATTGTAAATCAAGACTCTTTGAAGTGTGACATATTTGTTTTATATCTTACGTTTACTTATATTTTAATATCGGGATATTTTGACTTTGCACCCCGCTTTTTGGGTGATATTGGATTTTGTACCCCATTTTTAAAACTCTTAGACTTTGCACCCTATTTCCCCTAAAATGTCTTTGCCTTTGCACCCCATTCAGGAATTTTTCTTCACAAAATATTGTAGATAGGGTTTAAAGTTTAAAAGTTTTGAAAATGGGGTGCAAAATCTAATATCACTCGAAAAGTGGGGTGCAAACTCAAAATTCCCCTTTAATATTTAATATGATTTAAATTGTTTTTAAATTGTTTTCATAGGCAAATATGTATAGTAACTAGTTTAATTTTTTGTGACTTTATATTGTACTCTGTATCTTTTTAGCTTATGAATAACGATTAAAATTTTAATTTAGATGATTGTGTGCTGCTCAATTTATAGATTTGTTGTTAGATATTTTGTTGACTAATTTAAAGTGATGTTTTACATTTTTATTTGGAATTTTTACTATATTAAAGTTACATTAATACTTAATGAGTTTGTGAATTTTACAAATTACTAGAAACTTTTCTAGTATAGCAGGATTTTTTTACAAAAAATAAAGAACCGAGAATTTGAACCTAACCGGCCCATTTTAAACGGGGCGATTTGGTATATTTTGACATACCCAATGATTCTTGAAATTTCTACATGGAGGCGATTTTACCGAGTGCTTCGTTTAAGAGCAGTGTAGTATAAAAGTCACTTTCACTATTTTCAGCTTTTGACTTTTTCATCTCTTTATGCCCTTTTTTCTTTATTATTTTCCTTTTTAACTTTCTATATTTTCCTTGATATATACGGAGTATCTTCTTACGAAATGGCTGTATATGGAGACTACTCATTAACATTTAGAGACTACTCATTAACATTTTGATCGGCTGATCAATACTGATATATTGGCAAGACTAGTTAAATCCGCTGAATTGTGGGAAAATGATACTACTCCATATAAAAATAAAGGGAAAACTACAGAAAAGGTAATTGTGGTTGAACCCGTTTTCAGATAGGGTCATGTGTTTCATTCTTCATCAAAATGGTTCATGTGTTTAAATTTCGTTATCACAAGAGAGTCACGCCGTTAAAAACGTCTGAAAAAATCGTTAAAAGTAACTCTGATTTTCAAAAGTACATGAAAAATTAAAAGAAAAATACTGAAAGTTGCGTCTCGTCAAGATGACCTCCAAACCACTTTCGCGTTTGGATTATTCACATCTTTTTGAATTATTTTTTTAAAATGATTTCGCTAATACCACTTTTCCGATGAACTTTCCGGTGATAAGGGTGGCTGAAAACAAAAAAGAAAGATGGCCTAGCGGTCATCTTATTGAGACACACTTTTGAAAATCGGAATTACTTTTAACGGTCTTTTTCAGACGTTTTTAACGGCGTGACCCTCTTGTGATAACGGAATTCAAACACATGAAACACTTTGATAAAGAATGAAACACATGATTCTATCTGAAAACGGGCTCAACCACAAGTACTTTTTCCGTACTTGTCTCAAAAATAAATTATACTTGTTAAATCCCCTGAAGTATATCTTGTTAATAAAATAAATAACAAATTATATGAAAATATGGTTAAAACAGTCCACTTTGACAATTTTAGCTAATTATATCAAAAAATAACTTATATTGTACTCATTTGATCATTACATAATTAATCATGTAAAAATAAATACTATGTGCTTGATAATATAAGTGTTTGAAAATAAGAACCCGTTTGGTGACTATGTTTTTTGGCTTATCAAATTTATCAATCAACTTTTTAAATAAACATGTAATTTGATTTCGCGCGCTGAATTTTTTAATAATAAAAAAAAGTGAGGCTTAAGTTACTTTTCTGACTGTATTGACTCAAATGACCGTAGATGATCATTTTAGCTATTTTTCATATTTTCTCCATTACTTTATACATAGAATATATTTTAGATATAACTTTTTCATAAATTAGCAGAATCAACCAATACAATCACTTTAGCCACAACTTCATAAATTTCAACAGAATAAGTCAATTCACCTGATTTCAGCGCTATCAAATGGGCTTTAAAACTCGTAAGTCGAATATAGTGTCACCAAACTACCCACCTATATTTGGGATTGTGAGAAAAAAGTCAAAAACTCATTACTCCGTATTTATTTATTTTTTAATTTGGGATTGTGAGGTTTTATTGCCTAAGGAGTTGTTTACTTTTTTTTTTCATTAAGTCCTGTATGGATTAAGATGAACTGTTTGTATTAAGATGTTTGGATTAAGTGATATTCAGATAACAAATTGTTTACTTTGTGTTCTGAATGAGAAGACTGAATTATATTAAATAACCAATTTACCCTTAGGCTTGAAACCTCTTCTTGGTTAATCAATGGAATACCAATTGAAAAAGGCGCCGCTCGAAGTTCTTCTCCATTAATCTGGAGCCATCAGCTTCTCAAGGTTTCTGGAGCCATTTGCTAAAGGAGAATGAAAGGACTACTGGGAGATGATGGTGGGTAATTAACAAGAGAAACAAGGGCAAATGAAGGCTTCTTCTAGTTACCTAATCTGCTTTCGTTGGCTCCCATTAGATTTAGATCTTCTATTTCAATTTCAGATTTTATCCTAAAAATTATAGCTATAGGTTTGATTTGGAAGAGGTAAGAAAACGGAAAGATTTATCTTCTTTGCAAAATTGTATGTGGGTCTTTTAACCCTCGATTCATTTGATAAAAAACTCAGCACCAAACATCATCCAGGAAGAAGATATATGGAGAAGGGAAATACGTAGCTCAAGTTGATACTCAAGTAGATGGAGAAGGGAGAAATAAGAAGCATAAAGCCGCACACTCAGGTCGAAGGTTAGCGATGAATGGGGTTAAAACGAAGACTCCACATAAATATGTATGTCTGAATGGTAAGAAATATTAAAAGTGGGCTGAACTAATAAGTCAAAAATGGTCTGAGCGAATAAGTCATGTTTTAGTATAAGTCCTAAGTAAACAAGAGTATATATCTGATCGATTAAGTCACAGTTTTCATTAAGTCCATTAAGTCGAAAGTAAACAGCCCCTAAGAGCTATTTGGGATTGTGATGTTATTCGGCTTATCAAGTTTATCAGACAACTTTTACAAGAATCACGTAACTTTTAATTTTGCGCGCTGAAATGTGTAATAATAAGTAAAAGCAAGGTTGAAGTTACTTTTCTGACCGTTTCGACTGAAGTTACTATAGAGAATTATTTTAATTATTTTAACATATAATTTTTTCTTTATTTTATTAATAAAATATATTCTAAATTTAATTTTTTCTTAAATCAACCAAATCAACAGATACATCCATTTAACCCGGAACTTCATTAATTTCAGCATGATTAATCGATGAAACTAGCTCCTGTAGTTTTATTTTGGATTAGTTAAAATGTAGTCCTCAAATTCGTATTCAGTGACGCATAGCTTTATCTTTGTGCACTAGAATAGCAATGTATGAATACATCCATATTATTTCGTCTAAAGGGTAAGCAAACACCAATTATGGCCGATAAACTAGGCAGGTTCATTGTAGACAAGCTCCTACAAAGCTTTAGCTTTTGCTGTGAAATGATTATGACTCGCAGTCATTCTCAAATCTCAACAAGTCAAGCAAATGGGGATTGAGAAAGGAAAGACAATGTTGCTAAATATTATAGAGAAATCCGGTGGTTGCGCCGTTGTAGACGGCGGCTTCGCCACCCAGCTTGAGCTTCACGGCGCCTCCATCAATGACCCTCTCTGGAGCGCTCTTTGCCTTATCAAAAGTCCTGATCTCATCAAACTGGTATACTATTTCCATCGGGTCTAATCTTACTATCACCATTTTATTTTTGTGTATTGCGACCAATTTTATTTTCCCCACCAATTCCAATTGAAAGTATACGTTATTAAGTAATCTCCTACCAAAGATTACGAATGTAAGACTGAATCCTAAATCTCAATGTAATAAGGGAACCATTACAATGGCTTAAAAAGAACACGTGGAGATCCCATTTAGAGGCATGCCAAGTCATCTCTCAAGTCTCAAGCCTGATGTATAGTCTATAGAGTGCTGATAGATGTATAAATTTGATACAAGAAGAAGCTCTGGACAATATTTCAAGAAATGAAGTTAAATAATCAAATAAAAGTGGAGTTTGTTTTATGGATTTGGTTAGGTAGTCTTTTACATGCTTCAAAGCAGTTCTAGAATATACTCTGTAATTTCTATGATTCTAAGATGAGGTGAAGTTAAAATTACCATGAAACAAAATATCATCGTCAATTCATCATCATCATTACCCTAGTGCCGCAAAGGCTCTCACCTTCGGTGGGGTAAGGGGGTCAGATGTATGTAATCTTATTCCCTATACTATACTAAAACAGAGATACTGTTTCCAGATGACTCATAGTGAAAATTGCATGAACTGTTTGTTGGTTCATAATAAAGAAGCACAAACACTTTAGTGAGTCATTTTGTTTTATTCTATCATATTCGCAAGCCAAAAAATAGTGAGTGTTTGGCGCCATTGCAAATGATGGAAAATGAAACAAAATACTTCGTATGAGAAGTGTAATTATTAGTATTGAACTATTGATACTAGAAAAGGTTTTAATACACAGTTACACACCATAGAGTATAATGCTTAGAAGTTGTAGCTGTTGGGAATTGATGGGGTTAAAATGCTGTCAGGTGCATTTGGAATACTTACAAGCCGGGGCGGATGTATTAGTGACTTCATCTTATCAGGTTAAATGAATTGTTTATCATGATTTGTTTGATTGTTTCTAGAGCTGGTTGAAGCCACTTAAGAATGACTTGTCTGAAAACAAACTTAAGAATGATCTGTGTATGTGGTTACAACAGGCCACTCTGCCTGGATTCTTGTCGAGGGGGGTTTCTTTAGCAGATGGTGAATCACTACTGAAAGATAGTGTACAGTTAGCTATAGAAGCCCGGGATGAGTTTTGGGAATCTGTGAGAAGAAATGAGAAACATAGATATAACAGGGCTCTAGTGGCAGCCTCAATTGGAAGCTATGGTGCTTATCTTGCTGACGGTTCAGAATACCGGTACTCTCTCTACTCGATTGATTCATTCATATTATAAATCATTTATATGTTGTTATAGTATAATGACATACACGACTATTGTAAGGATAATGTTCAAAAGTATAAGTTTTAATACCTATGAATTATAGTGCGTAGTATTTTCACCATGATGGTGTTCAATTTTTCTAGACAGTGAATTTGGTAGTATTTCCACAGTGATATACTACTCATCCTTTTTGGTTGACCCTTCACATGAGCTAACAAATCTTAATAATTTGGTGGACGCTATGATGCCTAATGTTGAGTTGTATTTTCCGGTGCTGCTCAGTGGAAAATATGGAGCGGATGTGAGCCTTGAGAAATTGAAGGATTTTCATAGGAGGAGACTGCAAGTGCTTGTGGAAGCAGGGGCAGATTTGTTGGCGTTTGAGACCATTCCTAATAAACTTGAAGCCCAGGTAGAGCCAAAGGAAGGCTGTTTTATCATCTTCTCATGAAGTGCATGGTTTTTCTAATGTGCCCAGGAACACATGATAACGGACGTAACGTGTTTAATTTTTAATATTTGAGAAAAGATTTGGTGATTTCAAAGAAAATATATGTAATCTAATAAAACGATACAGGACGAATTTGTCACTAATGCATATGATAATTCAAGAGAAAGATAGGGATTAAATACTTATTTGTGTCTCATTTGGACAAGGCATTGATTGAGTTGCTGGATGAAGAAAATGTAGAGATTCCATCATGGATCTGTTTCAGCACAGTAGATGGGGAAAATGCAGCATCTGGGGAGAGCTTTATGGACTGCCTTGAGGTTATTAACCAGTCTAGCAGAGTTGCAGCAGTTGGTATAAACTGTTCCCCTCCTCAGTTTGTTCTCACTCTCATCCAGAAATTTAAGCAGGTAGTAAGAAACTAAGAATTTATGTATTTCTTCTTTGTTTTGAGTTTTCAACCTAATGAAGGCTATGTTTGAATCCCGGGAAATACCTGGGGAAGATAAGAAAATTCTCAGGGCAATTATTTTGTTATGTTTGATTTACCTCAGGACCAAAAGAAAATCAAAGATGATTAATGTTTGATTTATGTATGTTAAGATTAATTAATATTTATATAATACTAATGAAAAACGTTAAAAATAAATATTTTGATTTTGAATCAAACATTGTTTTCCTCAATGCTTTCATTCATTCTATATATAATATATCCAATGTGCTCCTCCCTATTTTCTTTTCATTACATTTCCGTGTTCCAGACTAGCCCAACACTCAAAAACGGGAAACAAGAAAGATTTATTACTAATGTAATGGTAATGCTGCAGATGACTGGGAAGGCAATAGTTGTTTATCCTAACAGTGGGGAGACGTGGGACGGCATAGAAAAACAATGGCTGGTTAGTGTTAGTTATAACTCCCAACAGACAAGTCTTATTAGTTAATTACAAATTCATCTTTCAGTACTATAAATTCCTTTCTGCCAATGCTATAAGCCTGATTCTCTTTTATTTTATTTTTGTCTGGTGTATACAGCATTCAAAATGTTTTGACGATGAAAAGTTCGGAGAATTCGCCCCACTATGGCGTGAAGCTGGAGCTAATCTCATAGGTGGCTGTTGTCGAACCACACCCTCTACCATTGAAGTTATTGCAAGAGTCCTGAAAGGCTGAAAGAACAATGATCACCCAATTAACTTAGTACATAGTGTATAATGTTCATTTTACCTTTTCCGATTTACATTTCCACATAACATCTTGGGGATTGCGTGATCATAACTGAAGTAAATATTTGAGAGAAAATTAGTTTTATTCCTATCAGAAATGATTAGAATACGAAATAGTTTACAAGCCTAGAAAAACTCTCAAAAGTAAACTTGCATTCTATCCTAGATTGTCTTCTCCTTCACTTGGCATTAATACTTAAAATTCTCTTGTTGTGCTTTGCATAGCAAATGATGGAGCTATTATAGAGCTAAACTCCCTTCGTAAAAATGCTTCATTTTTTCAACATATGACTTGTCCCGTTGGTGACCCTAGTTCTACCAACAACTCTCACACAGCTATAAAAGTATGAAAAGTTGAGCATGTTGAAGTAGTGTTGAACAATGATGAGCAAATTTGAATTGAGTTCTTCAATTGATTATTTCCAGATATTTGGACTTGAGTTCTTCACCTCTCCTCTCCGAGCATATTTAAAACAAGCATCAAAATGTTTGTGCATAATTCTAGCTTATACTATAGATAATGTGTATCATCGTGTCTACTGATTTCTCCTTCACATTGATCTTAAGTAGCCTCAAAAGTTGTCATTCAATTGTCTTCTGACTGTTCTGAGTTCAATGAGAGAGTGAACATAAATACATTTTGTACACTACATGTAGGTTCTTGCTCAAGTGAACAAACTTTACTTGCTATTATGTAAATGGTATTCACTTTGTTTGATTCCATTGTTTTGGAGAGATCTGTTCACCTACAACATTTCCTTAGAAGTTTCAGAACAAATTCTATTGTAGATAGAGTGACAACTTGTACAATGTTTATTGTAAAGGAACATATTCATTCACATTGATCTTCAAAAGTTGTCATTCAATTGTCTTTGGTTAAATGAGAGTGAACATAATAGTAGATAGAGAATTGAGTTGAATAGACAGTGACTGGAATTACATTAAATGTATTGTTAAATAGGCTAACGGGACTACATTGCCTAAAAGGCGTAATTATAATAATTTCAAGGCCTTGGCCTTGCAGCCTAATAGGCCAATTTAGCGATATATACTCCAATAAACTAATTCGCTTTTTTCATAAATCAGATCCCTAATCTATTTTAAAAAAAAACAAGCTACTACAAGTGTCATAGTAGCTAGGTGGAATATCCTTGAAATAAGAGAAGGCTAAAAGCAATGCTGTTTTTTATTCCATCAGCTTGCGACGATGCTGCTTATGATGATCATGTATAGTAGCAATGCTCCTTTTATGGTGGTGTCCATCCAACATCATTCTTTCTCCATGTAATATCCTGTTTGATGATGATGATCGACGTCTATGATGATGATGGTGAATGGCAGGAGCAACAAGGGAACCACCATTCTTATTCAGATCACTCGCCCCATGAACTTGTTTCTCAACCATCATCTCTGCAGCCAGTAATGAACTTTTGGCAGCTCTTCTGTGTTTGTCTTTGTCCTTGTGAACATGATGAAGAAAATAGTGGTAATCTGCCTCGCCAGTTTCTGTTAGATGCTTAGTCATTCTCCCTCCACGGTGATGAAGATGATGATGATGATGATGCTTACGGTGGTGGTGGTGGGGATCATGTCTTCTCTTTAAGTACACTTGTTGCTTCTGATGATGAGGAGAAGGAGAAAGTGGTGAAATGTGATCTTCCCACCAGTCATATATAGGATCAAACACTCCTTTCTGATGAAGAAGCCATATTAACACCATCACTGCCATTTCACATCACAAAAAATGCATATTTATATGTGGCTTCCAAACTTAAATAAATAAATAAAAAGTGAATGCTAATTAAGTAGCGTACGAGTTGGGAAAATGGCCACCAGTAGAGCAACCAACACTATCCAGTTCAAACATATATACTGAACATGACAGCTCAAATCGAAAAACCCAGAGCATTTCATTCTGTTCAGGCAACCGAAGATAGAGCAAAATCAGATTTCAGGGTTAAAATTGCCCAACTTTATTGAAATATGATTGTGTTATGCATAAACTGCGGAACCGGTGTTAAGTACCTGCAGTTTTCTCCTGTAAAAAAATCTGTCAAACCTTCCAACAACCTATGCCATAGTTCTTTAAGTGTTTCAAAGAAACCATGTATGCCTGTCTTGGGGGGTTGGAATGGTATCTGTAGTTAATATTACAAAAAGATTGTCATAATAGGTCATACATACTATGGTGTATAAGAAATGTCAATATCTAAATATGAATTTAAAAACCTGTGTTCCGTTATCGAATGCCGTGGCAGTTGTTGAGAACTGACACTCAGCTCGATCAACTTCACTAAAATCAGAGCCTTTAAGTATTGCTGCATCGATATATCTATCCATTGGAATCAAGGACTCAGTGATTTAATAAAAGATGACTAGCTGACTTGTATAAGTAGTACCAGAACATATATAATTTGCTGCTTGATCACTTGATGGGTTCAACTTGAATGCTCGAGTTACAACTTCATTTGGCTTCATTATGTAGAATTGTTCCTGCAAAAAAAGAACTTGTTCCTCGTAAATCATGTAACTGTATTGGTGGATGCAAACAAATTTAAGTCAGATGATTCAAACTAATTTCAAACCTCCATTTGGCTGACACCGCCTGAGCAATCAAACTGAAAATATTTTAAAATAAATAAATAAAATTAGTTAGATAGCAAAATACTCTCACTTTATGAAATTCATACATTCAAAATCGTTTCTTTCCATCATTTTCAATGGAGCCAAAGATTCATTATTTTTTGGCTTGAGATTATGATGGAATAAAGCAAAATGACTCACTAAACTGTCTGCGCTTCTTTGTTATGAAGCAGCAGTCAGTCCATGCAATTTTGGACGGGATTTTCACTATGGGTCATCCGGAAACAGTCTCTCTGTGCTTTAGTACAGGGGTAAGACTGCGTACATCCAACCCCCCCTTACCCCACCGTAGGTGGGAGCCTTTGCGGCACTGGGGTAAATGAAAATGATGATACATTCAAAATCGTTCTTCTGCCAGACTTAACATAAAGAACTTTGTTATACTAGTTTACCGTAAGACTGTAGGATGCTTCTACTTCTCCAATATTTTTAGTTGTGATTGTTGCTGTCCCTGATTGAGTAAGAGCTTCAAATGTTGGAGCAGTGATGTCCAAAATTTGCCCTGGGCTCCTGGAAAAAATAGTTATGGCAGAAAATACCCAACACAGTCCTCCAAACTAACCTTCAAAGTACGTAAACGAAAGAAATGGTCTTCCTTACACACAACTAACCTTTGATAGACATACTCTATATCATCAGCACTCAGTTCAATCAAGAGATTGGTATTGAGAACTTCAGTGATTCCTATGGAAAATGCATGACTTCCAGCATTCTGAAATAATTAGTATTAATACAATGCTTTCATGAGAAAGACATTGTTCTAACTAGAGAAAAAAAGAAAAGCTATGAGCCATAACTGGATGTCGGTTGATCCTCTCAAACCTTCCTTGAACACAATACAGTGGCACCTGGTTTCTGCTGATTCGATTCTGATCTGCCTGATATATGCAACAATGTTAAACGCAATCATGGCAACATGGGGCGGGTCTGGTTCAAGAATGGTGTGGGGGATGTCTGGTATGTACACTTACATCCCAAAAGTTCCATAGTTGATTGTGCAAGCAACTCCAATATGGAGCTGAGCAAAAATCAGGCTGTGAGTTAAAGGCCTCAAAACCAACACCAATTTTGTTACATTCAAGACCATCCAGAGTGAACCTCACTCTTTCAAGCAGCATCCACATGGAGTAATTGCTCCCCAGATTTTCTGGTTGACCTGGAGCACTCCCCTTTGACAAAAGGGAAATCAAAGGAATCACATTAATGAAAAAATTATATAAGCTATTCTAAGTGCTCAACTAGTGATTCCATAAAGTGCTCTATATATATGTACAAAGTTCAAAGTGAGTAATATACCTGTCTAGGGATAACAAGGTAGTAATCCTCAAAAGATGGAATATCTGAATATCCAACATAGTCTCCAACAAGATTCACTCTTAAAAACTTATCAATGGAGGCAGCTGTCCTATTGCCAGGTCCAACAGTCACTTCCTGTTCCAATAAAAAATGGAACAAAGTAAACACAAAAGGTGTCAAGCATGCTCAGAATGGTGGAAGACTAGTTAGGAGCGATGCTGGCAAGCTAATTGCTGGATTCTACAACAAAAGTGGTTTTGGGATGATGCACACAAGTTTGGATATTTTTATATGATAGCAGTATACCACAGTACCACACAAGATTTTTGGAAGATTGAGATACATACTGAAACTTGAGATTTTGTCTTGACTTCAATTCTAATACTAAATCCAACTGTGCGATGCCCAATGCCAAACACATGGAACCTATGAGAAAAAAGAAAACTACACATGGCATTTCACTTTTATAAATGAATTATTGTCACACACCCACATACAGAAAGATGAATATGGGAAGCAGAATTTGCTTCTACAGTCTCATCTGAATCAGGTAAAACTTTTACATATAAAAACTCGGAAGAATTTCATAAGTAGGAGTAAAACACAATGCATTTTTAAACAGTATTATTTCTTTTATCCTGGAAATTTGACTAATTCACTCATAGGGAAAGAATTATTACTTATATTCTTTTTTATGAGTGAACGAATCCTAGTTTTACTGTGAAACAAAGCCGGTCCTATTTCGAAAAATGGCTTATACTGTTATGCTTTAGTGTTATTTTGAACAACTTTTTCCTATTAAAATGTGCATTGTTAATATAGCCATCTGCATACAATCTAAACCGGGAATTCCCTTACCAATCACCTGGAAACCGAAGACAATGAGCAGTGTTTGCCTTCCCCTTCATCATCTTGTCAACTGACTCACACACAAGAAAAATGTATACATAGAACAAGTCAATGCATTGTCGTACAACAATTGGCAGCAATTTTGTTTTCTTAAAAGGAATTGTTATCATAAACTTACAAAAGTTTCCACATGATGAAGGAACCCTGCGCTGACCACCACAAGGGCAACAGGTAGGCTGTATAGAACACGGTCAACAAGAAAAATAAATAAATAATTTGCAATAATAAATTTAGTACAAACTCTTGCTTCATTTTAAATACTGTTGTTCATGGGCTCATGGCCTTCTACCAGCACTACTACATGATGTAATTATGTAGAGCCAAACCCAGATAAGGCAAGCACTAAGAAGTCAGACTAGGATATCTTTGCCAGTAACAGTCTTTGTCAAATGACGTGATCCATATTAGTTAGCAGCATGTATTGTAACTGCATATATGATACTTTAATACTAACTTGTATATTAAAGCATAACTAAGACAGAGTATGTGAAATACTAGCTTGAATTGACTTGTAAAGTAGTGCTTCCTTTTCCCTGGTTTCTGTAGAACTAAATGAACGGAATTATGGATGAGCAACAGCATAACAATTTAATGAACAAGAGCTGCAACATTTAACCCTTGATGTTTCAAAAAGATCATTATGGACAACAAAAGGTTGAACCCTCATCTACCTGAGTGTGGTCAATAGTGTTCCCATTCTCGTCTTTCAACCTACGCTGATCAAGAAGTTATATATAGTATATAAAAATCAAAACTTTTAGACAAAATAGCCAAAGTGTGGTTTAGTTAATGTGCTCAGCTTATGCAGTTGAGATAAACATAACTTGCCTTTCACATATCTGGACAACATCTGCCCCAGCATTACTCTTACACTTTCTTGTCTTAACATACAGCTCTTGTGGTTTGTAAGCAACATCCTTGACAACAGGTTTAGGTTTCGTATCAGAAAGTGTTAGATTATGGAGCAGTGCCCATTGTACTGTCATATGGGGGATGAACTTGTTTAATTAAACCATAGATGCAAACCAAACATACTCTTATGTATGTCAATTCATATAAAGCAAACGCAGCAGATTTTTGGACAGTCACAGACGGAGGAACCCTAAGCGTTCGCATGTTGGTCGCATTCTCTTCCACTTCCACTATCTCGGCCACCATCGAAGCCTCATTTCCACTCTGCTCCGGTTATCAAAAGGCACATACATTAGCGTTTTGTAAGCACGTACTTTCACACATTAAGCAAGGAGGTATGATTAAAGTTACAGATTCGCTGGGAACGGCTAGGTTGATCACGATCTTGTTGGTACAATTGAGTTGTTGGTCCGAATCAGCGACTTTCTCACATTTTTGGAGCTTTGATTTCGAAAGGATTTGAATTGAGTAAACGGGCAGTTGAGAGGGGAAGAACAGGACGAAGAGGAAGATTGGTAGAGCCAGAGGCTTCATCATGGAGTTGAGCATCCAAAATTTTCAATACTTCTACAACAATATAAATTTAACAGTTATTTTTGTTGTTGTTTGTTTTAGAACTAGACTAGACTAGCCGCACAATAACTATGCACTTACGAATGAGGTTTCCTATGGCTTTACCTCTGCCTGCGGGATTATTTCTCCTCTGTGCGACGATGGCTACAGACGGTTGCTGCAGGGGTGCGAGTCTGCGTTCCAGCAGTTTTGCGCGAAGGCATGCTTTCGACGGGCGGTTTTAAATTTTTAAATCTCTCTTCTCCGCATATATATGCTCTGGAATCTGGATGGATTTTCTAATATTTTTGACATTACTCTGTTAGATGATGGGTGTTTTTTATTTTCTACATTTGATACCTTCTAAATATCATACTTCATCCCTTCATTAATATTTGTAATACTGTCATTTTTGCACCTAGATTTGATCATGATTTTCTACTAATATACATAAATTATCCGTAGAAATTATTATTTCTAAAATGTTGCTTATGTTCTATTAATGTGAATTGCCAAGATAAGAGTTGTTTATAATTTTGTTAATACTAAAATAAATATAATTACAGTTATAGTTGTGTGTTGGTAAGCGTAAAAGTCAAATTGTTGCAACAATTAAAGAACGGTTATCTATGATTGCTCTAATTTAACTTTCAACATAAATATAAAGATTGCGAAAAATTATACCATTAGTAATAAAACTCGGCACACTGATTAATGGTTACTCAACTTTCTTTTTGTTAATTATAATAGTTGTTAATATGTTGGTATAAAACTCAACACACTGATTATGATATTTCTTCTTTAAATGATTGTGCTATTTTATCTTTAATTAAATTATTTGTATTGTATTTGATATAATAGAAATTGTTCTAGGTAGGATTAAAAATATCCTAAAAATATCAAATAAGACTACTACATTTTAAGGGGAATAAACATTGATTTCTAGCGTAAATGCCATTAAGCGTATTCATTCATAATGAAATGTTTTAATTTATCATAAAATCTTTAAAAAAGAATAAAAAATCATAAAAAATATTAAAAAACGTAAAAGCATAATAAAATAATAATAAATATTTATAAAATAAGAAAAAAATGGATTTTTTTAAAATTAATAAAAAATAGTAAAACCCCATAAAAATATAAAAATATATGGATACCTTTTCACCGCTTCCCAGCACCACCACCTATGGTCGGTGAAAATTCTGCCATTTTTCTGAAAATGTCAAGAAAATGGCATTATTACTCTTCATAATGCCAAAAGTTTAATTGAATCTGCCATTATTATGACATTACTAAAAATGTTGGCATATTTCCAACCGGTGATGGGAGCTTATGGTGCTGGGGTGGCACAGGTGGCGGCGTTTTTTTTACGTTTTTATTTTATTTATTTTTTTAATTTTTAATTTTAAAAAAATAAATAAATTTTGTTTTATAAATATTTCATTATTTTTCTACGTTTTTTTTATTTTTACGTATTTTATTATTTTTTATGATTTTATTATTAATTAAAACATTTTAAAAGGTGCAAGGGTATATTTGTCCAAACACACATCAATAATCGTACTGGGGAATTTAAAGGATGTAATCCTATTTGTACTCTAGGGCCATTTTTTGTCCTATTTAGGTAATTCACTCTTGATATAAGTATAAATTTGGCTAAAAACTTGAGGCTTATGCCACATTGCGCAATGAGACTTACGCAATAGGCAATGGTAAGCAACCGCCTCAAACACGCAATGCGCAATTTCATACACCAGCTCATGTCATATCAAACCATAAAATTTCAATCCAATTAAAAACATCCGTAGAATATTTTTAATTGGATTAAAAGTTTTTTATTTGATTTCATTTGTTTAAATTTGATCCGATATAATAAAATTTCATCTATGCGTATTTTATTATTGTCTAACTTTCATCTGATCTGCTTATATCTGATCTAGTTGGATCTATTTAATTCTAGTCTAGTTTGATTTCGTTAATTCTAATATTGAAAACAGTTTTATTACCAAACACTCATTATTACTCTGTATTATTTAAGACATTGTCAAAATTTAGGTTACACTCCCCCAACTCCCCCAAGAGAACCTTTAACTTTTAGGGTACGTTTGGTTGGGGATAATCATCTATGCAAGCCGGAATCTAATGTTCGGAATGTGAGATGTCCATGTTTGGTTCACGGGTCTGGATTTTTTTGGAATGTTATATTCCCAAATAGAAAATAATGGAGTCACATGCCTAGGAATGTCAAACTCATATACCTCTTAGGTTATCTTACATTCCCCCTTCCTTGATTAAAACTTACTCATGTTAATTTAATTAGGATTCTATAATAGCTCTTCAATCTTATTTAGGTCACCTATCCAATCAATTATGTCCAAACTTTTTCCTCTTCATTTTACAAGAGTCTCCTAAATCAAGTAATTGCTCCCTCTAAATTTAATCTTTAATCCTCTTTAATCTTCTTTTGATTATTCCTTAATTTTCTTTTTAATCTATATTAATTTTCTCTCCATTTTTTAATGCTTTGTGCCATTCTTTGGTATTTCTTTAACCTTCTATTTTTTCTTTGAATCATAAGTAGATTTTTTTTTACTCCAGGGGTGGGGTCTAGAGTAATCAGGGCTGAAACTCACTCCATTGAGTTTCAAACCGTTATGTGTCTAGCGAGTTTCGAACTCGATACCTCACACTAGACACGGTAACCTCACAACCAGCTGGGTTGAAATGTTTGGTTAAATATGCTTTTAGAGCAACATTGACTTGTTCTTTGTATACAACTGTTTTGGTAATGATATATTCACATTTATTTATTAATGCATGTGATTATGTATTTATTTAAACAAAATGATTTTTTAATGTTCACTTATCTTTCTCTTTGAGTGCAACATCCACAATGTATCTTTGTCAATTGTACAATTAATCATAATTCATTTAGTTTTGATTTTTTTATTGTCAAGGTATTTCATTTTTTCTTTAATTTAAGTTAGTTTAAATGCAGGTTGTAAGAAATTTATTGTGTTAAGACAAAATCACGAAATTTGTAGTATAAGATACTACATCCGTCCCGCTATGATTATCCCATTTTACCTTATCGGTCCATCCCACTAAGATTGTCTCATACCATAATTGGTAAAGTTTGTGTGGCTCTAAATCATTCTTACTTTATCAATTCAATATCAACCACATAAACCACTTTTTATTAATTTGTGTGTCACTTCCTCTTGTCTCATTGTTAGCGGGGCGGATGGAGCATCATTAAACCAAACAAATTAATGTGATATTCCCTTAGTCTCAACCAAACACAAATACTCTCTTTGTCCCTAAAAGGATTGTCAGGTTTGACCGGCACGTAGAATAATAAAGTAAAAACTGTGTGGTATAGATTTGTGCATAAGAAAGAGAAATAACAGGAACTACAAATTGATTGACTAAAAGGGAAAGTGGCAAAATTTTTGGGACGACCAGAAAAAGAAAATTGGCAAAGTTATAAGGGACGAAGGGAGTATCATACAATTGAACACATTCTCATCAATCTATTCATACATGACTTGACGAGAATAAAGTAATGGCTTAGGGGACAACAACTCCTCATTCCTCACTCCTCAATCCTCATTCAAATGTTTTTACTTTCTTTGTCTGAATGTCTCATATAAAAGGTTCTTATTTATATTTTAAAATATAAATAAGAAACTTTATATACACACACACACATATCTTTCCGGAATTCCGGACGAGAATCCGCCGTCCGGACGAGAACCTGCCGTCCGGACGGCAGCGTTTCGGCCTCTTCCTGGTGAAATTTTTTGATGAAATTTTTATGGCATGTTCTTTATCAAGTCTAGTTTATACACACAAAAAATCAACAAAAAAATCATTCGGGAAGGCCGTCAAATGATTTTTCAAAGTTAACTGCATTTTATATATATTTTTTGGGCACAGTTATCTTGCAAAAATCATTTGACAGCCTTCCCGATTGAATTTGTAGCTGAAATTTTTGTGGATAAACTAGACTTGATGAAGAACATGCCATAAAAATTTCATCAAAAGATTCCACCAAGAAGAGCCCCAAATGCCGCCGTCCGAACGGCAGTTCCGATCAGGAATTCCTGACCGGAAGAGTACTCATATATATATATATATGGAGTAGTTCGTCAGTTCCCATTTTCTGGAGTTCCATAAAAAACAGTGGCATCATTAATTGCCAACGATATACTTCAATTATTTCAGAATTGACTTTTATTGCTTTAATAATATACGTAGTATAACTATGGATGGACTCGGGCCGGGTGGCCCGACACGGAACCGACCCAGGACCGGTACTGTTCCGGCCCGGCCCGGCCCGACCCGGTGGCCCGGTCAGTGACCGGTCCGGGTAGGCCCGGCCCGTGGGTTTTCCGGTCCGGGCTCGGGTCACCCAAAACAAGGCCCGACCCGGCCGGGCCAAAACCTATTTTTTTTTCTTCAATTTTTTTTAAATTTTCGGGTTGGGCTGGGTATTTTGGGCCATTTGGGGTGGTTTGGGGGGTTGGGGGTGGGAGGGGGGTTAATTAGGAAGAGGAAAACAAAAAAAAAAAAAAAAATAATGGGCCCGGCCCGGACCCGGACCGGACCCGGTGGTTACCCGGGCCGGTCCCGGGTCCACCATTTCTGACCCGCCGGCCCGCCCGGGCCTAGGCCCGACCCGGACCCGGCCCGGACCCAAGTCCATCCATAAGTATAACAGACTTTAACAGTATAACACTCATGTACGAGACATTGAAGCATAGGGTTATTAAGCACAATTAACTGGAAACTGGACAGATGGATTATGCTCTTTTTAATAGCGGTAAGTTTTTAATGAAAAAATTAAGAGAGGTTAAAACTGTTGGATTTCATTTTGTTTTATGTAACAATCTGTTGTGACAAATTAATGATAAAAACTCATACTTTCTCTCATACTCCCTCCGTCCCAATTTGATTTGCAAAGTTTCCTATTTTGGTTGTCCCAAAATGGTTTTCCACTTTCTATTTTAGGTATGTAAATAAGAATAAAATGACAAATTTACCCTTACTTTTACTTTTTCCCCATTAACTTAAAGTCATATACTTTTAGAAAGATGGGCCAAAGTGTAAAAAGCAAGCATCATTTATTGTCATTTCTTAATCTTTGTGCCGGTCAAAGTTTGCAATTCAATTCGGGACGGAGGGAGTATGATACTCAGTGTAACTGTTCAAAAAAAATCAATTATTTTGTAAGAACTCGTAAAAATTGTGCCAAATATACACACAAAATATGTTACATAAAGCATCAATGTGAGTGATTCCATACGGTACTAGAACTTACAAGATTTTTCGGCAAAATAGATATACTACCACATATCATCATCAACAAACAAGACCAAAAAGTCAAAACTATTCAGTTCTATTGTCTCACTGTAATGGTGGTGCGTTAGACCAGCAAGCTTATGGTCTCACTTTCTCCGCTCAGGCATGGCTAAATTTGGATTAGATGGGGCTGGTTGAGGAGTAGTAGCCCTGGAGAAGTACATGTAGTAATAGACGTTAAGAATCATGGTCAGGATCACCCAGATGGCTCCAAAGACAAATACACCTTTGCGAAGTGTTTCACAAGAAATGTTTCTCGCATGTACCATTCTTTGATGCTTAGTGTGAAAACCGCTTTTCTTAGAACCAACAATAAGTAATGTTTCTGTGATCAGAAAGCTCATCCTGCATATCAACAATAACTTGTGACTGGCCAAAGATAGGGAAACAGACCAACATTTAAGTCAATTGACAACTCCTATCATATTGATACTACGTATTTTAGAATGAAATATCACATCTAAATGTCATACAAGAGCTCATTAAGCTCATCTGACTCAAAATAATAACACATACTTCATGATTCATTGCAACTCTAAGTCTTTATATGATTATATCAAAGTCTATCAGCACATCAGCTCATTTTCATGTTAGCACTAAGCAAGTTCAGGGACAAACAAGTAACAAGTTTTGTTTGGAATTGCTACTAAAGCCAAGGTACAAGTTTTTTTTAACAAAACAACTACATATTTAAGAAAAATGTCTACACAGCCTTTTTTAGCACAATTTATAAACATGTAGAGGTTCACCTAGAGATGGGGGGCATACTAGGCCCTGATTCACCGCAAATTTAAAAAAAGAATGGAATATATGTGCATAATTTTTTTGTGAAAATTACCGATTTCTTTTTGTACTCCTGACTACGTACACGCCTGCTCGGCAAATTCGCTGCCCCGGCCCCAACCATAATGAGTATAATAACCGCAAGTAACCGCATACTTAATATACAAATCACTCGTACACCAAAAGGAGAGAAAGAAAAAAAACTCCATAATAATCAAACTGGACTCTTAAGGTCCAATATCAGACCCAGGGAGGTGGATTCCCAAATGAGGTACTCGCTTTTATTCATTGTAGTGATAACATCCATATATAGTTTTATAAACAATTGAAAGGAGGAAAGTTTCATCTATTTTTGATGTGGAAAAAATAACAGTAGAATGAAGGAATGATATATATAATATTGTAACCACCCTGTTACCCGTAAAAACGTAATGGTTGTTATTCCCTACTCGTACCCATTACTCGGTCAATGCAATTTCACATGTTTTGACTGGAGCATTACGGTGCGGTATCCATTGGATCGGATACAATTGTCATCCCTAGGTCCACAGCTGGAAAAAGAAAGATTTTGATGTCGAGAATGGTTCGCTTACTGGCCTAAGGTGGTGGGCAGCCTTATAAGGCGAGCTTGTTACAATGTTACCCTAAAAGGGGAGAGATGCTTACAATAACTATCGAGTAACATAATAATATGCTGCATGATACCATTTTTTCAAAACAATACACTAAAAATTAAAATTGAAGCAACAATACCTCTTTACTATAAACTGGATTGCAACATGGCATAAGAGAAGAGGAGGCAATTAGACACTCACCATGAAAGACAAAAATAAATAATTGTCCAAGCACGATTTGAGCCAGGGAATAGAGGCCTTCCGAAACACATGAACTTGGTCACACCCATAACCAATGACTCACTTGTAAAAAGAAAGAGGAAAGCGCCCACACCATATCCAGTGGCAACATTTGAACTGTAAACACAGTATGTACTATTGGAAGAGGTATCGCGATGTAGTGTACCACTGTACCCTGCAACAAAGAAACGACAACTCTTACAATGTGGATGTACTCTCACTGTATACAATTTAATAAAGTTTATATCTTTTTCTTTCTTTCATTTTTGGTTTGTGTCTGTGTTTCCTATCCAGTTCAAAAGAACATCTTACATGTGAGAAGGTTGGATAAACTGCAGTCAAACAAAAAGTTTTTACTTCTTGATTTCAAGTAAGCATGCTTTTTTATTTCAGTTTGCTCATATAAGCTTTGTATTTTAGGATTCAACTAGGCAACAGAAAAAGTGGATCAGGTACCATTTCATCATAATCAATGGAACACATGTATGCTAGCTTGGGATAGGCGAACTCCACCAAAACAGATAAAAATTATTTTTCTTGATCGAGGCCCTTTAGATTGAGGGGCCTCGATCATCTTAATGTGAGTCAATTAGATCATCTTTGTTGTATATCAGTTATCACACGTTCACAAAACATAACCGTATTTCCTCCCCAAAATAGAGATAATCATACTTACTCAATACTACAGTCTAATTAGTTCGAGCATAAACGCAAGGTACAGACATTTCTAGAGTTTAACTGGACAATACGTTTTGAACAGACCTGTAGCCTTTTTGTAATTTCTTATAAAATGTACATACACCGATCATCAATAGTAGAACCAGAAATATCATATTAGGTGGAGCCAGACCTTGAAAATTTCAACTTAAATTTATCAGTTATATGTATTTGTACACACACACTAAGAAAAAATTAGGGGCTGCAGCCCCCTCAATTGCATTAGCACCTCCTTGTCTCTGCCAAGAAGCAGGGTCGTTGCTGTTAACTACAAAGCTTAAACCTTTATCACTGTAAAATTAATTCATCCATATAAATAAGCCCTAAGATCCCGAGCAGTCGTAGCATCAAGTTTCACTTCAACAACCAAAAACACAGACACACACATATGAAGAAAGAAGGAGATGAGTAGTTTGTACAGCGCTACCGCGGTGAACGGCGGCGATTGATAATCCAAAGGCGGTCAAGCTCAAAACAATGACCAGCAAATGAACTAGAGACGACCCCTTTTCTTCGCCCATCACTTTTCCTTCAATTTAGGGTTTCCAGCTGCGGAGGGCAGAGTGTGAACAGAAAGTGATTTCACCCCTTTGCTTTTCTGTGGAGCGGGCAAAAAGGCAGCAGCAAATCAAAACGGCATTGAATAGTGGGAAAAGAATAAACGAAAGCCGGATGGGGCGGAGAGAACGCGAATCCTCGAGCTTTGCGGACACGCGCGGTCAAAGTACAGTTCCAATTGGTTTGACTCGTGTCTCACGCGATGGAGAAAGCCGGGCAGGCTGGCTCGATATAAAGGAACGAGTGCGACATGAGACGCCGGAAATCGCGGGTTCATGTCGGGCCATTTGCAAACCTTTCCCGTAATTGCAGACCTCCGACCGTCACTTTATGCTTTGAAGAATCCTCGAGCTTTTTAGCTCAAATATAGGATGGCTAGCTGTTACCACATCAAAGATTTGGAGCAATTAAAATGATTGATTCTTTTGAAAATTGATAAACTTTGAGAACGTGATAATACTAAAATGGTTGAATTGATTCATTCTGTTGAAATTTAGAAAAAAGAGGCAAATAAACTTATGTACTAACAAAGAAAAAAAGTCAAATAAACCCTTATATCGAGACTCTGTTCGACTATAAGCCCGGTGGAATTTTTTGATTAATTTTTTTGAATATCTTATTCATTAAGTCTAGTTTATTCATACCAAATTTCAGCTAACAATTCAACTGGGAAGGCATTGAAATAAATTCTTGAATATAACTGTGCTTTTGACTGCGCAGTTATCTTCAAAAATTCATTTGAAAGCCTTCCCGATTGAAGTTTTAGCTGGAATTTGGTATGAGTAAACTAGACTTAATGAATAATATGCTCAAAAAATTGCATCAAAAATTTCCACCAGAAACTGTCCCAAATGACGATGGGGGCAGACATAGCCTCCTATATAAGGGCTTATTTGACCTTTTATTGTTAGTATGTGGGCTTATTTGCCCCTTTTTCTTGAAATTTATTAAGTTTTGTCTGAAGTAATTGTATTGGTTGATTCTGCTGAGTTATGAATAAATTATATTTAAAATATATTTTATTAATAAAATAAAGAAAAAAATATATGAAAAAACAGCTAAAATGATCCTCTACGGTAACTTCATCCAATACAGCCAGTAAAGTAACTCAAACATTACTTTTTTTTATTATTACATAATTTAGCGCGCGAAATCAAAAGTTACATGTTTGGCAAAAAAAATTGACTGATAAGCCCGACTTAAGTCACCAAACGAGTTCCGAGTTGAAATGATTGAATCTTTTTAATTATAATTTTTTTTGTGAATTATATTACTCAATATTATATTGATATTGACCTGATCCCAAAATCTTTTCGGATTGACTTGATGTTGTGTGTTGTATTATGGGGGTGTTTGGATTTGAATCTTAAAACTGCTTCTGCTCTCTCAGGGAGCAGAAGCAGAAGTTGGAGTGTTTGGTAAAAGTGCAGAAGTGATTATGGTGCTCTAATTTATTCTTAGAATCAGTTTTTTTAGAAACTGTGGGTGACCAGCTTCCGAAAACTGATTCTGATTCTGCTTATGCTTTAAAAAAAAGCAGAATCAGAATCAGTTCCAAACACCCCCTATATTAATATTGATAAAACAAAGATAGGAGTATATCAAACAAAGTTACAATTGTGCAAATTAAGTCAATACAGTCACAAAGATAATCTTAGCTCGATTATTACTTAATTCAGATATAAGACTAATAAGCTACAAATATAAATTACAAATGAAAATCTAAATTGCATTCGGACAGCTTAGATTTAATGAAATGGGACTAGGACAACACTCACAAAAGTATTTCGATGCATTTAAAAGAAAAGATGAAACATTGAAAAGTTTTTTAGAATGTTTATTTCGTGTTTTTGCATTTAGTATTTATGATTCTTATGTTACCATCAATTATTGCATCTCTCATAGTACTTCAAAAATTGTTTTGCAATTTTGGGCGGCTTCGCGACTAATTATGGATATTATGGAACAAATATATATAATATAGAGCCCATTTGGTGATCCCTTTTTCGGCTTATAAGGCTTATCAGCTAGCTTTTCACCAAATATGTAATTTTTAATTTCGCGCGCTGAATTTTGTAATAAGCAGAAAAAGTAAGGTTAAAGTTACTTTTACGACTGTATTAGCTGAAGTTACTGTAGATGATCATTTTAGTTATTTTTCATATAATTTTTTATTTAATTTATTAATACTGGGTAACAAATATTTTAAATATAATTTCTTTAACGAATAAGTAGAATCAACCAATACAGCCACTTCATGCAGAATTTCATAAATTTCAGCAAAATCAACCAATTTAGCCAATTTTAATGTTAACAAACGTACTCATAATTTGCCAAAACAAACTCTAAAGAGAAGAATTTGGCGGACTCCGTATAGTAACGGGACAAAACATGTGCGTTGCACTTTGAAAAGAAAAAAAAGTTAAAAGGGGACCATTGATGCACGTACTTTTTCTAACTAAATAAAAACTTTAAACATAAAGGGAGATTGACTCAGTAATGGTTTTAAAAAATGGCCGTTAATCATTTTTTGGATTTAATGAAATTAAGAGGAAAGTAAGTTTCAAAGAATAACAAATAAAATGAAAAGAAAACGTTAGTTCTGAGATAATTGGAATTTATGGGAGGGTTCACATGTAAAGAATTGATTTATCTTAAGATAAAAGTATTTAGAACTTTTACAAGTCACTTTCACGAGTACTACTCCTTATTTTACACGATTAGGACATTAAGGTTTGTTTGGTATTGGTAATGGTTTTAAGGATGTTTTTACTTGGACGGTTTTAAGTTCCAGACCAGACCAGGCTTAAACAAACTAGATCAGATCAAACTCAAATAGACCAGATCACACTTAAACAAATTAGACCAGACCCGACATGACTTCCGTAGTTATAAAATACATAGAGACCGGATGTTTACTGGACCATACAGACCAGACTAATTCAGACTAGATCAGACCAAACCAGACCGATTCAGAATAGATCAGATCAGACCAGATCATACTAAGTTGTTTCTCCTATGATTTTAAATTGTATACTCTAATACTCCTTCCCAAAAAAATGTATACTCCGTATAACATTTGTTGAACTTATATAACTTATCCTGTCCGAACGTTTGGACAAGAGGCACCGTCCGAACACCGCCGTTTGGGGCGGTTTCTGGTCGAATTTTTTGATCAAATTTTTATGGTATGTTCTTCATGAAGTCTAGTTTATCCACAAAACATTTTAGCTCAAAATTCGATCGCGAAGGCCTTCAAATGATTTTTTGAAGTTGACTGCGCCAAATTATACATAGAAAAACGCAGTCAAATTCAAAAAAGCATTTGAAGGCCTTCGAGATCGAATTTTGAGCTGAGTTTTTTTGTGAATAAACTAGACTTGATGAAAAACATATTATAAAAATTTCATCAAAAAAATCCACCGGGAATCGCCCCGAACGGCAGTGTTCGGACGGAAGCCCAGGTCCGAACATTCAGACCTGATCATTTGTGTGTGTGTGACTGTGTGTGTCTATATATAGATTAAAGATCAAATGAGAACAAGGATTAACGTGAGAACGTGAGAACACCACAATTACCCCAACGTGTTGCACAATGAAGCCCGTTTATTGCAATTTTTCATGTTTTCACAATATTTACCAAAATGCAACCGTGTTTATTTAATGCAGGCTTAATCGAACAAATTGAAATCGTGCAACAGAATAGCTCCATTGTGCACCACATTGATTTAAACATGAGTGTTTTCACGTTCTCACGTTAAGCATTGTTCTCACTGGAACCGCACCCTATATATAAAGTCTAAATTGTTTGTATAAATAAGTATTTTTTGTGAACGACGCTTATATGTGCGTATGAAAGGCATTGATTTGTGCATCCATAAACTTTGATTTGCATACTCGTGAGTGTACTTTAGGATGGAAACAATTACTATCGTACTACCGACTTTGCACTCCTAGAATTAGATGTGAAATAAGAATAATAAAAATTGTGTGATTGAAGTTTGTGCAGAGGAGAGAGAAATGAGCAGAATCACAAAATAGTTACTTTAATGGGAAAGTGACAAAGTTTTTAGGCACAACAAAAAATGGAAAGTTGACGAAGTCCAATGAGACGGAGTGAGTATTTGAATACATAAATGCATCAATACATTAGTTGCCTGGAAAATCAAAGCTCCTAAAAGAGTATGTGTGAATAAAGTTCAAAACTTTGTGTGTACCATTGTACCAAATATTGTTGCTAGTAGAGAATAGAGGCTCATGGAGCCGTCAGAACTCCAGTAGTGAATATAGATTTTGTTCCTTGGCAATTTGGCATGATTGTTCCTTCTTTACTTAGTTTGAGTACCTTGCTTGATATTGTTCAGCAGTATCCACATTGTCTCTCAGACTCTCACTAGTTGACGCAGGCCTCCTCCCTATATACAGCTAGATTGTACTTTCAAGCGAGATATGAAAGATTAGCTTGATTTTATTAGTAACATAAGCCATTAATCGGACACCCTCAAGTATAAATGTCATGTAATTTTGCAATGAGATGAACTCCATATAAGCGTCATGACTGTCAAGTTTTGCCAAATATCCATCTCCGTGGTGTTAAGTTGAAGCATAAAACATCTAAATGGGTGGAGAGTCAAACGACAAGAAGAAATTAATGAAAAAACTCCTTCAATTAAACCAAGACTTAACAAAGTATGGTTTACCTTTTTACATGTCTTATTTTCAGCAGAAAAACAATGTTACACTATTTTCTGTATCATTTCTTGGATAATTATAATTTCAATAAATTAATTCATTTCCTTTTTTTATTAAGAGAGAGAAATTCACAAAGCAGTTTCGCGTGACACAAAAGCAAAGCATCATCCATCATTCATTAGGCACTGACGACCAACTCGCTGGCTTTTGCAGCAAAACAAAAGGAAAAGAAAAAGCGCAAAGAAAGAATCCAAGCATCCAGACAAAAGATGAGGAAAATCTAACTACATACCCCGTATAAATAAATACTCCTGGTATATATATACATATACTGTATAATTTACAAAAGTGCATTGACTAAACAAAACGACTCACACAACGCCTGATTACATAGACCTTTCCGTCTGTTTATGTAAAAATCGCTTCAATGAGCTGCACATAACTGAAATTGATATCCCCATGACAACCCCAAACTGAGCTCACCATAGGTTATATATATAATATAACTGGAGGGTTTTCCCTCGTGTCCTAAAAATGCATAATATCAAATCCTAAATCTCTTCTTAATTATTCTAGTTAATAAAACCAACACTCAGCTTACTCTATACTTACAGACAGACCACTACTAATTACAAGACCCTCCTAACATATTTACCTCGGGCAAAAGGACTTTTCTTTAGCAAAACAAAACAAAAACTCAAATTTCTCTCAATGGGTAATGGAAATTGTTCCAAAATTCCTGTCAATCTGGCTTGATGTATTTACTTTCTCTTCTCTTCATTTTCAGGTAGGGCGATGATTGTATCTTCATCTCAAGCCAGGGCAGGGATGCTGCAGTTACGCCGATCCCCATCGAGACAATCAAAACCCTCGACCCTCACTGCCGGGTTGTTTCCAAAACTTGCCCGGACGCATCCACCCTTCCGGTTAGCAGATGCTGACGGAGATGAAACAACACCGGAGGAGGGGATTGGGATTGCTCGAGGCGAAACCGGAGCCATATGCTGCTCATCCCCAAACCTAGCATCCATAACTACTGGGTTAGACACTCTGCTCGGCGGAGACCCACAAAAAAATGGGGGCGACGAGGCTACATGATGTGGTCCTGTTGCTTGCTCTGCATCATGATAACTACCCTGCACAAAACAAGAGACCCCCCAAAAGGGAAAATAAATAACCATCATAAGAACTAAGAAGTCGTAATTAAATGTCAAGCAGGTGGACAACATTTGATGCCTAACCTAAAAACATGGAATTCTTCCTAGATTAATTAGAGAACATTCTGAAAACAGGACTAAAACATACGGAGTAACATGTTTCTTTGTGCGTGCCATCATTACATCTTTCTAAAAAGAAGACTCATCCAACCCTAAAAGGGGAAGAATACTACTTTTATTCTCTTTTTAGGAAAGAATAAGTCATACTTTTAAGATAAGACATCCACACTCCTATAACTCATATTTGCATTTAATTGACATTATTGAAAATGCTCACATACTAAAGGATATTACAAGCTGACATTTTTATACCTATAAGAATTCAAAAGTAAATGCTTCATACATCTTTTCAAGACAAAATAGCAATTAACTTAAGAATAGTAAATAAGGGCAAAATTGGGAAATTAATACGAAATACTCCGGATGCAGTAATTCTAAAATGACAATTCTTTAGAGATAAAAAATTTGGCTAAAATGAAAATTAAATTCGGGCCAAGGGAGAATAATCTACAAACAAATATTTGTGAAATAGTGAGTCCAGAGTGTTTGAGTGTTACTAGACAAGTGGACTAACCTTGATGAGAATGATATCCTCCAATATATCAGCTGCAGCCATTGAATCAGACCCCTCTTGCTGATTGCTGCTCACAAAGGAAAACATTTAGAAATCAATTGCAAGTTACCTGGAAATAACCATTTCATAAAAAAGACAACATCATAATTCATACACCGTAAAAGTCAAATAGAATTACCAGAAATACCATCTGAAAGGCCTAACGGGGTCGTTTACATCACTATTGAGCTGACCTAGACGGCGAGGCTTAGGGCAAACCAAAGCGCTTTGCTGAATCCCACAGTGATTCATATTTATCCTCCTTTGTGATAATTGCAGTAAATAAATTTAACAAAAAAGGAACTCCTGGACAAGAGGAAAGAACTGAGGATTAAAATTCCAGACAAAATTCCTCATGTATGGGAGGGAGGATACAATGATTAAAACTGAAATCAAAATCCAAATCTTATCAGGTTAGTATTGTTATTTTTAAGAGAGAGGGGGGAGACAGGGGAGTTTAGATCTGGTCAGAAATATTGAGCAAACCGAAAGGCTAAAAACAAGCCACCTCACTCTCTTGACCCTTCCAATTACAAAAGCACTCAGATCTGGAGATTTCAATCCACCGTACGAACACACAACTACTAGACAATCACAGATCTGTTTTCAGTAACACGGAAAAAGCAAAAAGTAAAGCTACAACGAAGAAAAATCAGCTCCCCCGAATATCAACACAGATCCACACAAATATCTAACCGGTATTAAAGTTATTGCAGACTTTGCTGCCTGTCGAGTGTTAGAAATGATAAAATTATTCAATTTGAAGGAGATCTAGAATATGAATTCATAGCAATTAGCTCTCAAAACTTACGATAATTAAAACACCAAGCGAATCATAACACGGAATACGAAGCAAATCACAGCTCAAACCGTTAAAAGAGGCATGAATTTGTAAGAGCGAGGGAATAAGCAATTACCTGAGCTAACTGTACAAAGCGTCTGGGAAGGAGATGCAACTCAGAACATTTGAGGGGGGAATAAAGGTAAGTAAGGGTTAGATAGAGAGAGTAGAGCGAAAGAGATTGTCAGGTCTCGGACAGTACTAATTACTGAAGGAGCCCAAGAGTGGATCCATGGAGCATTTAGTGAGAGACGATAAAAGCAATCGACTTTTCTATAAATAAATTCAGCGGTAACAAATATAGGAAGTGAGAAAAATCGTGGCTATATTCTGTGTGTACCCTTACGTATTTGGCTTCTCACGGGGGACAGACAAAATAGAGAAGTTTAATAGTTCATTTGGATCTGCATGTAAGATGATATGTAGGAATAGAGGATTGATTCAAATCGAAAACGTTGAATCGCTAATCATGTAAAGTTGCCGCCTTGAGCGATATGAATGTAACTGTTCTTGTTATCTTTATCGATAATAATTAAGTTTTTCCTTGAAATATGACTAGTCACTATGTACAAGTAATTGAACAAGAGTCACTGTAGTGTATTTCAGAACGACAAGTCACTTTTAGAAGATGAATCACTGAGAACTAATCACTGAATATGTCATTTTTCGGAAAAATTTAAGATAAAACATATTTTTGTCTTTTGAATTTAATTTAGTAGCTTTCATGGAAAAAAACCTATTTCCTTTCAAAAAAGATGGCAGTTGCTCATTTGTAATTAAAAAGTGCTCCTTTCATCATTATTATAACATTTTATTGCTCATACTCCGTGTTTAATTGGGTACATTGCTTATTTGAATAAAAATTATGTTCATTTCACACACACACACATAATAGTGACTCATGCGGGGAACTTAAATCATATAGTTCCAAAACAAAATATGAATTAGTATTAATAATTAGGCTTAATGATGTATGAGCGTTACAGTGCGTGATCTTGGTCAATGAGGTCATTAGAAGTAAAACGTAGTCCTGAGCATTAAGAAATTGTTTTAAAAAATGAGAATTTTATGTCAGCCAACAAAAAAGGTCTCTCGAAGATGTAGGAGCTGGGTAGTGACTTCTATGTAATAGGAAGAAGTGAAGTTCCTAAATTAACAACAACATCACGTTTGATTTGTGCATTTGAGAAAAGATAACTACTAGTGAAATGGATTATCAAGGCACTTTATACTTGCCTACGACGATGCAAAAAAATGACTGCAAGTACTTTCAAGAACGTAACACTTCTAAAAGCGTTGGGGTTGCTTGTGCCGCTAGACCTTCTCACGATGCTAATTATTGGAGTCGTTATAGAACTCTAAAAGTGTTGCTATACGTGAGACACTTTTCATCAACCTATCGAGGCACACAATTAAGTCACAAGTAATCTATTACACTTCAATTGTAACCACCTTTATTGATATCACCAAGTTCAATAATATTTAACATTATATTGCACCTACTATTTTTCATAAAATATTAGACAAAACTAACAACTTGGAAAGAACAATACACAAACAAAAATGATTTTTAAAATGTATCATATAAACTTTTCAGGAATAATAATTGTACGATTACATCAACATCAACCGTCTTAAACACTATTCAGACTTCAAATCATGCAATATCTAATTCAACCAATATAATAAAAATGTATCAAGATATCTATTATCTTATATGACATCATTCCAAATTGATCTTCATCATTCTATCTTTGGTGCTTGTAATAAAAAATCTGCAAAAACAGAATAAAATAAAATAAGGAACGTTGATTTTTGAAAAATAATACCACATAATCTAAACAATCAAACTCTTCTTACTAGTGTGTCGTGTTCTTAATTTGTTTAGAGAATGGGTTCTAGAGCAATTAAAATTGGATTTCCAATTATTGGATTGCTAATGTTAGCTTGTCTTTCATCGAATTTGATTGCACAACCTTAGAGCCAAATTTTCCAAACAATAAAAACAGGGAGACTATGAAGAATGAAGCCCTATAAAAAGGATTATTGTTGTGAATAAAAGGATGCCACCAAATAAAAAAATTGTTCAACTGTACATACATTACATGTAATATTAAAAGGTTTAGAATAATGATTTCAAATAAATTTATAGATAAATGGCTGATCTGCCTACTTGTAAATTTAAACAAAGAAATTGATGGATGTTCTTTATCTAGATTCTTTCATAGTTTGAAGTCAAGACCAACAGAAAGTGCAATCCAAAACAGACAGTGTAACAAAAAATTCAGTTAAAATCAAATTGAGAAATAAAATTCAAAGCAAAAAACCTTTGTCAGAAGAATTACAAGGGCTTCCCTCATTAAGGCAGTAGAAGACTCAACATTACCCTATACCAAACAATATTAAATGACTTAAATGCAATTATAAGTATTTAAAGTAAGCAGGTTTATAAAAATCAGAATGTTTACACAAAACAGTACCTCATTGGTTTTTGAATGCCAAAATCTTCTTCAATATACGAATCGTTACTGTCATTCCCTTCTGTTTTACGTGCTTCCTCATTCTTTGGATTTACCTATTCAACTTTATAATAGTTGCTTTTTGCTTTTTCATGCATTTCTTCAATCTTTGAATTGAGCCCTTTAGTTGGCGAATACAATACAATCAGGGCGGACACGAGAAGTCATCTTGGGGTGAAAATATTTTTGGGGAGTTCGAAATACTTTTTGGGTAGAGCAAAAATTATTTTTCATATACTCCCTCCGTCCCGTTGGAATATTCCCGCTTTCCTTTTTTGGATGTCCCGTTGGAAAGTTCTCATTTTCCTAAATGGAAAGTTATCCTACATCAAAACAGAGTCAAACAGTGCAAAACAGTGTCAAACAGTGCGAAACAGTGCCAAACAGTGCCGAAACAGTGTCAAAAGTCAAAACAGTAAAACTTACCCCCTCGTAAGTTTATTTCCTTAATTTGTGTGTAGGTCAAACCGGGAACATTCCAACGGGACAGAGGGAGTATATATATGTTGGTCCCGGTTGTACTGGGTACAGTCTAGAAGGGGGTGAATAGATTGTACTGGTTTTTAACTTTTTCAAGCTAAGTACCACATTTAACAGAATAGTCTGTTTTGTTGGAAGAACAGACTGGCAGCGGATGGTACTCTGGTAAGGGTTCTGTCCGGTTAGCCTCACAGAAAAGCAAAGGCGGTTGGCCTTCCGTTAACTCACAAGACACGTTCTGCTAAACACAGAGACCAGGTCTTTGGAGTTAATCAGTTTGAAGTAAATGCAAGAATTAAAATCAGGAAGTAAATGACACCAGGGATTTTTATAGTGGTTCAAGGAACAACTCGTTCCTCTAATCCACTGTTCCACTAAGCTTGTAAAAAATCCAATTACAAAGCCTTAGCCCTAGCACTTAAGAAGCTCTCCACGTCTTTTTCAAGCCTAGAAGTCTCCTGGGATGCACTTCCTTGCTTCCTTTAAGATTGGTCCTTTCACTAAGCTTCCTTGAAGTATCACCACTTCACTACTCCAGTTACTTGGACGTCCTTCTCGTTAGAGAAGAGTTCTTGTGAGAACAAGGGTTTTCCAACTTGCTTCGTTACAAAAGATATGTAGTTGAAGTGCTTGAATTGTTGAAGAACAGTTGGAACTTTGCTCTTGTTGGGATATGAAGATAGAAAAAATATTATCTTCCCACCGTCCGTCTTTCTTGTTGATGAAGGTGAAGTTTTAATCTTAAGAGGGCTTGTGCATTTGAATGTTTGAATATCTTGTTCGAGCAAAAGTCTAGCAAAGTTACTTGGTTGTTCTTCGAGTAGTATCTCTTATACTTAGGTTGTCTTCCCGTTGGAGGAGGAGGACAACTGCATTAAATGTGAATACAGTTGACTTGACCAGTAGCACCCGGTAAAGTTGGCGAGTTGCTATTTTGGGATAAAGTTATCCTGACATTTCGACCAATCATCTGTATTTACTCTTTAGCGTACGGGGTGCATTAAATGTGCATTTAATTCGCGTATTGTAGCTTTCCCGTTCAAGTCTCCTATAGTAAAAACCCCCTTGTTACTATTTAATTAAAAGAGAAATATTCCTTTCCCTGTGGATACGAACCTTACTTCATTATACTACGTATAATTGTTGTATTGATATTTATTTTGAGTGCACACCACGGCAAAGTGCACGTCAAATTTGACGTGCACTTTGTCGTGGTGTGCACTCAAAATAATAAATACAATACAACACATGTACGTAGTATAGTGTAGTAAGGTTCATATCCACAGGGAAAGAAATATCTTTCTTTTAATTAAATAATACAAAGGGGGGGGGGTTGAGTTTGATTTGATATAATGTAATTAACACTATGATGAATGACTTATGTTTTTTAATTTATAGAGATGAGGACTTGGTTTTGCTTTTATCCACTTAATGAAATGTTCGTCGATCCCGGTTATATCTTTACTATCTTCCTCTCATACTCACATCTTAGAGTATTTGGTTGTTCATCATATGCACATGTATACAAAGAGCTCAGACAGAAGCTTGATGCAAGAACTATCCCATGCATTTTCGTTGGCTATGGAAATAAAGAGTTTGGATACAGGTTATGGGGTCCTAAGGAGAAAAAGGTGTTCAGAAGTAGGGACGTTGTTGATGCACACTAATTAGTAGTGCATAATTGCATGTTTTTTTGTTTGATTTATGTTGATTGTTTGACTTTTTATTTAGTTTGAAACCATTTATGTAATTTCAGTTGTAATTGTATTTTATTCTTTATTTATAAGTTGTAAAGTATAGTTAGGATTTGTGGTGTTGGAAAGGAAGACTTTGAAGAGAAGAAAACAAGAAATTTGACTGCCCAGGGGTGAAACCCGACCGGGTAGAAACCCCCACCCGGTCAGGTAGGATTTAACAGACGAAATTGCCAAGAAAGTCAATGGACCCGGTCGGGTCCCCTACTTGACCCGGTCGGGTCAGATGTGACCCGGAACAAAACGACGTGCGAAGATCACCAGAACGTGGCGAATTATCTGATTTTGACCGGACCCGGTCGGGTACCCGGCCAAAGGTGTTGAAAAACACCTATAAATAGCACTCTTTTTCTTCTCTAAAAATCATTCCTTCTTCCATACTCTTAAGCTCAGTTTAGAATATCATTTCTTTATATTTTTCTAGCTATGTTTAGTCTCCAAATGAGGAACTAAACTTCCATTCTTGGTGTTGGTATTGAAGCTTGTTGATTATTAAAGTTGTGAGTTATTTTCTTAACTTCTTTCCTTGAATATTAATTAATAGTTCTTTCCTTAATACCATCTCTATATTAATGTTGGGGAG